GGAACCAATACTTTTTTTTAATTGAAGTGTAGTCAGTTTATGTGTCAGTTTCTGGTGTGCAGCGCCATGTTCTAGTCAGACGTACACATACAGCACTCTCCATGGTTTCCATTACTGGTCACTACAAGGTACTGAACATAGTTCCCTGTGCTGCACGATGAACTTACTACAAAACAGAGACAGACTCACAGTCATAGAAAACAAACGCATGGCTACGGGGGGAGGGGGCGGGAAGGGATGGATGGGAAGCTCGAGATTTGCAGCGCCTGTTAGACGTCGCCGTGTCAGGCGTGCGCGGCTGTCGGCCCTGGCTGCGCGGACCTCTGGCCATTCTGTTTTGTTTGTTTTGTATGTTTTTAATGGAGGTCCTGAGGATAGAACCCAGGACCTCGTGCGCACTCAGCACGCACCTTTCTACTGAGCCACACCCTCCCCCGCCCCACCCCGGCCATTGTGGACACCAGCTTTCTGCCCTTTTATTAAAAAGGCAGCTCCTAGTTTTTATAAACGTAGCTGCTACCTCAGTGCTGGCTTTAGCTTTCCCCCGTCACTTGCTTCGTCTGCTGTGGATGAGCTTTCTTGGGGTTGGGTGGGAGCTCCCTTGGCACCAGTGCCACCCCTCCCCTCCCTTAACTGGCGCCTCCAAAGAGGCTGGAGGCCCAGATGAGGGGCTGGCGTGAGGCTGGGGTGTGGGGTGGTCCCTCCCCGAAGGCGTGCGGGTCTGTCGCTGTGATTGTTCTGGGCCCTTTGGCTCTGGGCTGGGTGCCTTTCTCCCGGTGGACGCGTGGTGATGGAGGGGCAACAGGCTGGGCTCCCGGGGGATGTGGGTGGTGCCCTTGGCCTTGCCTCTCACCGGACGGGGCCAGAACTGAGACGGCCTCACTGCCCTCTGGGTGTCCGAACAGATGACACATTTGGGGGCATTTCTGGAAGTGAGCCATTGAGCTGCAGGAGGTGGGCCTCGGCCTCCCAACCTGGGCCCCTTGGGCTGGTTGCTCCCCGACACATTCCCTATTAGATACGGGGAGTGCGGGGGCTGAGGCTGACTGGGGACCCTGCCGCCTGCGCAGGCCACTGCCGGGCGCCCTCTGTGGGTCAGTGGCCGCCCAGCCGGCCCCCTTAAGCCTGGTCCTCCTCTGTCCATTTTGCAGGTGTTGGGGTTTGAGGTCGACGCAGTGAACTCTGTCCAGTTTTCAAACCACACAGGTAAGGCGTCAGCCTCGGGCCATGTCCACGCAGAGCTGTGTGTGGGTGTGAGAAGCGGCCCTCTGGAAGTCTGGAGGCCGCCCCTCGGAGGTGTGGCCCCAGCTGAGGCTGCACGGCCAGGGGGCAGGGGGCCCGGGTGTGCCGGCTGTGGGCTTGAATCCTCCCAGCTGCTTCGGGGTTGGGCCGCCCGGGTTGGCGACGTAACCCCTCAGCCCCTCAGCTTCCTGCATGAACCGAGAGCTGTAATCCTGGCGCCTGCTCTGGGGCCATGCCGCCTGCCTACAGGGTGACACCACGGGGCCTGAGGAAGGCCCCACGCGGACGGGGAGGGGCAGAGCGGGTCCTGATTTTCTTTGTTGAAAACCAGAGCCTCATGGGCTTGTGTGTGTGTCTTCACGTGTGAGGACCCCGGGGGTTTCCTCGCACAGGAGCCTTGAAGTGGGATTGCCGGCTCGGGGGTACATGAGGGTCACGTCCCTTGGAAAGTCCCCAAGGTATCGGGGCGAGGACCGGGCTCCCCACCCTGTGGCCTTGGCACTGCCCTGCCCCGGGGGTCCCCGAGCTGGAGCAGCGGCACGAGGACAAAGCTGCGCAGTTCTGGAAGTGTCCCCACATCCCTTCTTTTGAAATCGCTCTGAACCCAGACGGAACCTCGGAGCACGGAACGTCCCAGAAGCAGCTGGCAGAGGGCTGCCCAGATACGCAGGAGGGGGTGCCGGCCCCGCCTGAGTTCTCCGGGCGTGGCTCTCGGGAGGGAGGGGGATCGGCAGTCACAAGGCGGGAGGAGGAACTCCGCGCCAGGCGCAGATGAAAGGGCCCTTGTTCTCACTAAGTGTCCTTTCCTGCTTTCGGTCTCCAAGTGTGCAGGGCACAGTGACATTTGGAAATGTCCCCAAAAGCGGTCAACCCAGTGAACCTCCCCGGAGCTTACTGTTTTAACTGTTTTAACTACCCTCTTTCTTTCCCTTTATTTGTTTATTTTAAAGTAAAGGACCAAGCTGGCTTGGGCCTCAAATCACAGGAGGTTCCCCGCAGCCTCCCCTGTGGCCTTTGAGGCAGCCTTGCCCCTGCCAGAGGCCACTGTTCTGTGGCTGCTCCTTCTGCAATGGTTTCCTGTTACCCAGGATCCCAGCCCCTGGACAGGCACTGGATGAAACTGGACGGGGCTGGAGGCTGGCGGGCGGGGCAGGCCAGCACGGAGAGTTTGGAGTGTGACCAGCTGCTGGGCCTGGTGGTGACCCCTGGGGGCGAGGGCGGCAGGTGTGGACCCAGGGCGCCCTGGGGCTTGGGGTGCCGGGGACAGGTGCCGGCAGCAGACGCGCAGTGAGGAGCTGGGTCCCTCAGGGTCACCGGCTCAGCCTCTGCAGAGTTTTTTCATTTGTACCTTGTAAAGTTGTAAAGCGAGTGGGTTGGACGGAGGACCCGAGTGCCCCTGTGTATCCCAGGGGTCTTGTGGGCTCCTCTGAGTGTGAGAAGATGAAGCTGGTGCGGGGGGCACCAACAGGTGTGGACCCAAACCCTCTTACCTGGTTAGGAAGCAGACCTCACGGTGGATGGGTCTCTGTGTTTGGGACCTGGCGGGCAGCGCACCTCACCTTTGTCACCCCCTGTCGTGGGCCGAGTTGTGCCCCCTTCCGGGCTCATGTCAGGGTCCTGACTGCCAGCACCTCAGAATGTGGCTCATACGTGGAGATAAGGTCTTAAAGAGGCAATTAAAGTCGATGGGGTCAAATGGGTGGCCCTACTGTGTCCTTAGGGAGATCAGGACACACCCACAGGGGGGATGACCTTGAGGACACAGGAGGAGATGGCCCACAGAGGGGCCACCCCGTGACACCGCAGCTCTTGGTCACAGCGGCCCCGGGACAAGCACGCGCCACGAGTGCTGCAGAGTCAGGCCCATGTGGCCGCTGGGAAGGTGTTCGTCCTTCCCTGGGCCTGCGGGGTTTTGTGGCCGCAAACGCCTGCGGGGACACAGCCAGAGGCCGCCAGCTCTTAGCGGACACCTGAGCCTGCAGGGACAGCCTTGGGAGGGAGGGGCTCACCTCCACTTCATTGGGCCCTCCCTGCCAGTTAAGGGGGGG